CTGCATCACTGCAGGAGTTATCGGCATGAAAATCACAAATGTTTGAATTCAAAGACTTAGCTGTGTTAGTGTGGGAAATCAGTATGTAAAGAGTAAATCTTGCAGAACCTTTGAGACTAACTGATAAAAGTTGGTAACATGAACTTTTGTAGACTTGAGCCTTTTGCATCCTTGCATGTGCATCTGAGGAAGTAGGCTCAAGTCTATGTCATAAACAGCCCTGGCCAGACAAGTTCCTATCTTTCCTCATGCCTTCCCCCAAAGATTATGCAAGATCATCTGCATACTGTGTTTGCACCAGGATGCACTGACTTGCTCTAACAAGGAATGAACCTTGTATTCTTGCCTTCCCACTTGTTTATTTGGCTGGGTTCACAAGGCTTTGATTGCTCAAATTCTAAGGCAACAATGATTAAATGAAGAAAAAAAGAGCTGAAATTGTTCAGTGAATATTTCCATGGGGTAGCATCTTCAAAAGCAATTTCCATTCCTCAATGTCAATTGTCCCTAATACTTTCAAGGCATAGATCAGGGGTAGGCAACCTAAGGACCGGGGGGCCGGATGCAGCCCCCCGAGGCTTTTGTACCAGCCCCAGGCCGGTTCTGCCGCCGCTGCCGCGGCCTGCCATGATAATATTGATTATTGTTGTTATTACTTGTTCTTGGGGTTTTCTTGGCAACATCTCCACAGGGGTTTTGCCATGGCTTTTCCGGGCCTGAGAGTGTGTGCATGCATATTTTTTTAATTTTTTAATTTTAATTTTTACTTATTTATTTATTTATGGTGCTTTGGCCCCCCAATTGTCTGAGGGACAGCAACCTGGTCCCCGGCTCAAAAAGGTTGCCTACCCCTGTTCTAGAGCAATACATAGGAGCAAACTAGAGTCTTCAGTGGTTCTGAAGGAGGGTTTAAAGTTGACTCTAAGGGAAAGGGAGAGCAGAGGACCCTTATGTGGTGGTGGTGTTCCTTTGCTTCTTGAAACAAATGCCTGACTTCTTCTTTCCCTAGCCACAGAAAGAATATTTGGAGGCAGTGAGAATCAGAGGCAAATTCCTCCATCTCTTTTGTTACTTTCAGTGGTGGGGGCAGCACTGTGAACCCCAGCAACAATGTACAACAGATATTACTTTATAGGTTAGAACAATTTGTTTTTCCATATTATAATGAGATTTTGGGGTTGCTTTTGTTATAAAGGAAGCATTGGTAGAGCTCAAGGTGGAAAGTGAACTAAAGCTAATGTGGTGCTTTAAACCTGGGGTAGGCAACCTTTTTGAGCTGGGGGCCGAGTTGCTGTCCCTCAGACAATTGGGGGGCCGAAGCACCATAAATAAATAAATAAATAGATAAATAAAAAAAATAAAAAAAATAATTTTAAAAAATTTTTAAAAAATATGCATGCACACTCTCTCAGCCCCAGAAAAGCCATGGCAAAACCCCTGTGGAAATTTTGCCAAGAAAACCCCAAGAACAAGTAATAACAACAATAATCAATATCATCATGGCAGGGATCGGTCCAAAGGCCTGGGGGGGGGGCGCATCCGGCTCCCGGGCCTTAGGTTGCCTACCCCTGCTCTAGAACCACAGGAAAGCAGTTCCGACATTAGGAGTAATCAAACAATTAAGTCAATGAATTGCTTCTTGTATTTGTTCAGCTGCTGTTTTTTTTCCTTGTGGTGCTCCCACATGTCTCTTATGTGCTATAAAGAAACACATAGAAAAGAACCTCATGTTTCCTGAATTTGGGTGCTAAGCTTAACCATGCTGACTAATATGCCAAACAAAGGTCTGAACCTAATTGCTTATTTTAACATGAGTAAATCCAGTGAATTAATAAAATTTACAAAAATTGTGACTTATTGTTCCACCATTCATTTAATGGGCCTACTCTATTTAGAATTAGCAATTAGATATTGGCCACAAGGGCCTTTGCAGACTGCTAGAAATAGTGCAAATTGAGTCCACTTTAACTGCCCTGACTCAGTGCTAGGGAATCATGGGAATTGTATTTTTTTCTGAGGCATTTGAGCCTTCTCTGTCAGAGAGCTCTGGTGTCACAATAAACTACAGTTCCCATGATTCCCTAGCATTGAGTCAGGGCAGTTAAAGTGGACTCAATTTGCACTATTTTGGCAGTCTGCAAAGGCCCTAGTTTCACCAAACTGCCCAGCATGCTATACAAAAGTTAGAGATAAGCTATTTTTCTGCAAGCTGTACTCTCAGAAATTCTGTTGAACTTTAAGGAAAATTTTCCCTGCAGAAGTAACTCCTTTCCTCTTAGAGGATCATAATCAATAATGAATGTGTATTTTTCAAATGTTCAGCTTTATTTTCTCATTCCTTTTCTCTGCATACATATATACATTTTAATGAAGTAAAAATCGATTAACAATAAAACAACAAGAATTACTTGGGTTGATTCATCACTTTTGGCATTTAGCCACATCCAAAATTAATATCACAAAATCTATAGACTGTGCAAACTTTGGTTTGTTTGATGGGCTGGCACTCACTGAGATTCTGATTAAAAGCTTTCTCTCTATTATGTTAAATTTAACAGGATGCTCTGCTCCACATTCAGAGTTCACTGCCCTTCACTGCTGAAGTTGAGGCCCTCTACCTGAATTACATACAACTTAAATGATATTATTATGGATTAAGGTTTTTATTAAAATAAAACACTTGTTTCCAGTATTTTTCATAAAGCCAAGAAAATGACAGGCTTGATGCCATATTAATTAGCATTAATTTATGGAAACAAAAGTCATTAAGTAGCATCATTCTGCTTTGTACACACAGAGCACCTCTTTCCCTTTGCAGTCCCATACTACTGGGATGCTCTTCCACCCAACATCTAACTTACTTTAAAACAAACAACAACACTCAGATTCTTCCTTAAAGACATTTGTTTGACTCTGATTGATTTTTCTACCCATTTTTACAATATTTCCTTCCCATTAATGTCATTTGTATCTCAAGAGCAAAACTCTGATCACACACATATATAGATAATACAGGTCAGAAATGCTGAAAAAATATGGAAGATTTTCAAGTATATATGATCTTAAATGGAAGCAAGACCCTCTGATTTCAAGTAAGCCTAGGCTGAACCCATGCATATTTAAATAAAAAATAATCTGTTTCAAATGAACTTGTTGCCAAGTACATGCAGAATAGTTACACATTGTTTGATAATACCTGCCGTGCTCACAATCAGGGAGTATACACACTGTCACACACACATTTCAACCATTCACAGATCAAACAAAATTGTGAGATATTTGTTCATTCATTGCCAAATGGAATGGAAATTACTTGACACAAGAGTTTGGAATGACATATTCAGGTGTGTTATGAAGCAGCAGTGCCACAGTCAAGAATTATTCAAGCTTGTTAAAAGTCATGTGCCATGAACTTATGACTACCAGAATTTCACTTCCCAGAGATTTGTCACCTGTAAACGTTATGCTTCAGACTTTTAGCATGCTTATGTATGCATGCCAATTCCTGAGATATTTCTTTTTGAATAAATATACACTTAACCAAGAAAGAGTAGCCATCTTAGTTTATGAGTTATGAACTGGGACTAATACAACATGCCATAGAGAGCTATATTCAAGTGTTTTGTTCTGGTCTCAATTCTCTGGAATGCATTCAGAACAAGCTGCAGAATAATTCCCATATTATCACTTGCCTCCCCAGCAGTGTTATTGGCATAACCTTTGGACAACTATGTACATAAAAACACTCTTAACAGAAATGCAAACCCATCCTAAGCATGTTGTTATTGTTGTCGCTGAATGTCTTGAAGTTGTTTCCGATTTATGGAGACCCTAAGGCAATGATGGTGAACCTTTCAGAGACTTGTGTGCCCAAACTCACTGGCATTCCCGCACTGAGTGTCACCAGGTGCTGGGGGTGGGACTTCCAGGGGAAGGGACTTCTGGGGGTGGGGCCTCCATCTTCTGGGGGCAGGAAAACCCAAGGCACACTCTTTCAGCCTCAGGCTAGCAATAGCAAACCCCTCCACTGATGAAACTTGCCAAGAAAACTCCTTGATAGTTTCACCTTAGGGTTCACCTTATAAGTTGGAAACGACTTGAAGGCACCACACACACAAGTCATGTTCTCTCTGCCTCAGAGGATGAAAATGGAAATCCCCCTGTGATGAAGCTTGCCCCATGATAGTTTCACCTTAGAGTCATCAGGAACCAGCGCTTGGAAGGGAGGGAGAGTGCTCTGGGCCCATAAGTTGGAAATGACTTGGAGGCACACAACAACAACAACAACAACAACAACAACAACAACAACAACAACAAGCATAATAAAGCACAGAAGGTGCAGCACAATAACAATAACAAAGAGAGACAGTGGTTTGAGCGTGCAACTCTGGAGACCAGGGCTCGAATCCCAGCTCACCATGAAACCCCTTGGGAGACCTTGGGCATGCCACGCACTCCCAGCCTCAGAGGAAGGCAATGGTAAACCACCTCTGAAGAAATCTTGCCAAGAAAACCCAATGGATGGCTTCATTACACCTCCCAGAATCCCACAGCAAGGCGTGGGCCTTCCAGCCAGAGGGGATTAGGCTTCCACCTGGAAGGGGCAAAACTTCCGCCCACAAGGCCTGTGCACAGCCCCTCCTTGTTGTGGCTTGGTTTTCCATGGGAGAACTGGGCTGCGGCAAGGAGCCGGCCTGGCCATGTGTGCCTCCCCATCCCTCCTTGCCGCAGCCCAGTTTTCTCGAGGCAAACTGAGCCATGACAAGTAGCCGGGCCAAATGTGCATGTCTCGCCCCCGCCTTTACTTGCTGTGGCCACTGTGTGCCCTTAGAGATGGCTTTGCATCCCAGAGAGGGCATGCATGCCACAGGTTCACCAACATGGTCTTAAGGTGAACCTATAATGGTGTTTTGGCAAATTTCTTCAGAAGTTTTTTTCCATTATCATCCTATGAGACTGAGAGAGTGTGATTTGCCCAAGGTCACTCAGTGGGTTTACATGGCCAAACTGGGATTTGAACCCTGGTCCCCAGAGTCCCAGTCCACTGCTCAAACCACTACACCACACTGGCTCTTTATTTCTCAGAAATTACTCACAAATAAATCATATGATCTAGTTGGTTCATCATATGACCTAAAAGCTTTACTCTCAAAAAAGGAAAATAGGAAGCCACAGGCAACTTTGCTGGGGGTAATACAGAAAAGGAATATAGGTACTGTCAATAATTGGGGGGGGGGGAAGTGCAGAATAGGAAATGTGTATATAAGAAATATGCATGAAAATTTTCATGTGGATTTTTTTTGAAATTGCAAACTGATATGGGAACAAACCCAAAGAAAATGCCAACTGGGAAAATGTGAAACTGAGCAAAAGTGAATTTGACAGATTCACCTTATTCCTACTCCCTTTTGTGTTTCACTAGCAGGAGGTGCAACCTGCAAATGTTCAGAACACAAGTGCTTATCTATACAGCATCCATAGTGCTCCTCTTCTGGCTGAGGAAATGCAACATAGCAGCGCAACAGCTATCACAGTCAGCTGCCAAAAGTGTCTGTGAACAGATGTTTGTAGGAGGGATAAGCAGGCAGGATAAATTGCTTTTGGCAAGAGACCCATAGTATAGTTTTCAGAATAAAAACCCTGTAATACATATTTTTCCTTAAAGAAAGACCTCCTTTCTTTGAATAGTAATTAAATATTTAATCAGACCAAAAGATTCCAGGTATGGAGTGGAAATATCTCACTGATATTTGCTGAACTGAGAGAGCCTGTATGAAGACCAAACATTCCTTGGCAATTCTTTTTTTTATAATAGATGTTTGGCCAGTGCTTATATGCAGGTGCTTCAATATTGCCTTTGTCTCAGGTTCTGATTGACTGAATATATCTATTCAAGAAAGCAGAACCTGAGCCACATTGTTCATACTGTTATATTTTATCCCAGTAAATTGAAAGACTCTAGCTCTGAAATTTGGAAAATAGCTTTAGGGTTTGTTTGGTTTTTGGAAAGCAAATATAGTACCACATGTGAAAACTGCAAATCTTTTTCAGCCCCACTGGTCCTTTCTTAATGTAGAGAACAAGTAACCCAAGATGCAAAGTCTGCCAAAATCCCAGCAGATGGGATGTTTAGTCAATGGAGCATTTTCTCCATAAAACACAACACTTAGTAAGCTTTGCCCTTTCACCTCCAAAGATTTTGCTCAAATGTGTGTCATAAAACTCTTTTTTTCTTCAAAGATCCATTTCAGAAATTGACAAGGAGACTTTTGTTGGGCAAATTTCCTTTGAAAGGTGCTAGATGAATATCTTCACAGAGAATAGAACTGGAGAATTTAGAGAAACAATCCTTTCACTATACAACTACTATACTTATACCATTACTTTCCTGGAAAGAACAAATGGGGTACAAAAACTAAGCTATATAATCTATTGATGCTGCCTCCAATTCATGGCATATTAGGCATAACTTTAAAGAATGACTGATGGCAAGGCACAGGATAACCCCTTGAAAGGTTGGGGACCATTTATTACATTTTAAGAGGAAAGAATAAATACACTTGTGGGATTCAAATACTGAGCTGTATTATTTTTATTTGTTTGGCAGAAGTGTAAACATAGATCAAGTGAAAATGAAGAAACACATGAAAAGTATACAGTTGGCCTTCTGTATCCATGGATTCTTTATCCAAACAAAGTGATGGCCAACAATCTGGAAAAACTCGATATACATACCAATCCACAAGAAAGGAGATACAAAAGACTGCAGCAACTATAGAACAATAGCACTAATCTCACATGCAAGCAAAATAATGCTCAAAATTCTGCAGCATAGACTTCAACCATACATGGAGAGAGAAATTCTAGAGGTGTAAGAAGGATTCAGAAAAGGAAGGGGCACTAGGGACCACATTGCAAACACGATGGCTAATGAAGTGCACCAAAGAATTAAAAAAAAATAGCATGTGTTTCATAGACTACATCAAAGCCTTTGATTGCATAGATCATGAAAAATTATGGAATGCACTCAGAGACATGGGGGTGCCCCTACATCTCATAGTCCTGATGAGGAATCTGTATCAAGGACAAGAGGTCACTATCATTCATCCCCCTCAAAACTCAATTTGTACCCATCTGTGGTCAAAGCTGACACACTAACTAAACAGTTTTGCAAGCTAGGTACATACAAGACATTTTCAAATTTTTTACCAAAACTAGGAATGCAAACAGTTCCCATTTCTTGAATTTTCTGGCCTGCCCCATCTGCTAAGGCAACAGAAGAAACATTTGCTGGTATTTTGCTCTGGAACAGTTCAATATTGTTTGCCATGTGAGTGGAAGCCCCAGAATCGAGAAGCCAGGTGCTGGGTGGCTGAACTTGGGTCACACCTTCACAGCTTTGAATTATGGCAACAAATCCTTTGTTAGCACTGTATCCCTTTTGGCCACCAGGGGGATGTGGCTGCTGCTGTTGCTGTTGTTGCTGCTGTCCTTTCCTGTTATCTGCAGCCAGCTTCCTACAATCCTTTTTTAGATGCCCAAACTTTTTACAATAAAAACACATTTTTCCTTTTGAAACTGCTGCTTTTTCAGTTTGCATCTCTCTTGAAGCTCCCTCTGTGGCATTTGGAGGCCTTGCAGCTGTAGATCCCTGCTTCTGCTGCTCTGCCTCAAATCTCCTTCTCTGAGCCTCTTCTAAAATTCTCCCACAGACCATTTCCATAGTCAATTGGGCGCCTGGTAACGCTTGCAAGCCTAGCAAAATGTTATCATAAGATTCATTTAAAGATCCCAGAAGAATATAATTTTTTAGGTTTTCATCCAGAGTTATGTCCCTTGCTTGAACCTGAGCAAACAAGTCTCTCATGCGATCTAAAAGTGACTTTCTGCAGAGTCCTTCTCTTTCATTTTGCATGAAAACAGCCGCTTTGCCCAAATCATCTT